TTAATATATTAAAACATAATCCACGAGAGATTTAATTATTTGTCGTTTTATTTATTATTAAATTAAGTAAGAATGTCAAAAAAAATTGGTCTTAAAATGCAGCTGCATACTTATCGGAATTACTTTCGTAAAACACGAGAGATATAATCATTTGTCACTTTGTTTATTATTACATAAAATAAAAATGTTTAAAAGATTAATTTCCTTAAAAATACATACTCAAGTATGCGTCTCTCTACTTAATATTATATAAAGCACTTTAACGTGCTTTATATAATATTAAGTAAGGAAACGAGAACTGTTTGTTACTTATTTATATCCTTCAAGCTCCATTCGGTAAGACCGTTTTAGCTCTCGATTTTATTGACAGCAATAACTGCGCCGCCATATACGAACAAGCATTGCATTTTTCAGTCAGGTGTCCGGTACATCCCGAAGACCGTGGCGGCGAGTCTTGGCGCTGCATAACTTGCCAGCATTTTTCCGACGTGACGGAAAAGATCCGTATCCCGGGACGCGAATGTTGATAGCGGGTCTTGACTCGACAGCCATCCAAACGAGAGAACGTTCCCGCGAAAAGTCGTTCGCAAATTCTTCGCGCCACTTTCTCGCTGGTTGCTCGCATTCGTAGCACGTCTCTCGTGCGGCGGCATCCACGAAAATCCCGCGAGAAATTGGACGCCTGACAGCGCAGAGACACAAGCGCGTAGGCGCGATCGCGACGCCATTGCCTTTGGCGTAACGCGCGAAAATTATACGAATTAAATCCGCGGAAAAATTCACCAGCGCGCCGCGCGCGAGATTTGGCCAAATGATAACAAGTGCCACGCGTGTATTATGCAAATAAATATATCGCGCGATGCTTCATCGCGGACACTGCGAAAGTAAACGCGGAGCGTGTCCCGTGCTTATATTTTCGCTTGTAAATGGCGGGTAGCTAGATGCATAATGGATCGGCGTTTCCTTCTCGCGTTGCCCACTTCTCGGAAGCAAAATCAATAAACGGTTAAAGATAGAATGAATGATTGACTCTCTGTGCGCTTTCTCGCGTCCCCGTCAAATCACACCGTACTTCAGTCAGAAGTGCTGAATATCGAGCGGAATATGCGCTCGCAATCTTCCGATTCCCGGGCGTGCAACAACGTTTAAAACAATTTATTCGACGAGTGCAAATTAAACGCGGAGAAAAGCCGCGCAGTACGCGATATGACAGGCGTCGCGAGCGTGTAAATACTTTCGATAATTCCGCCGATAATTAATTAAAATAATTACTGACAATTAATTAAATTAATTGAGATTTGAAAATTAATTTGTGCGAAAATAAGAATTTCCAGCGTGTCGCGTACGGGGAACCGCTGGGCAAATTGATATTTTCTCTCAATGAATGGAGGCTCGACATTGGACGGATTAATGAGAGGAGGCGAGCGTGTTGCCGCGTGTAAAAACATTCCCATTACGCCCGGTACTTCGGGATACAATCGACTGCCGCCCGTTTCTTCTTAATGACGAATGCTAATTGCACGCGCGGTCGATAGTTCTTCAACTGCGCGCAAGTACGACTAATAGTCGTGCTTTTTCAGCAGAAAGGGATGAACGAAGGGGCGAAGGGGCGGGAAAAGGGAAGCAACTCGAGCGCGAGTCCGCGCAGAGCCGGCCCGGCGGAAGAAACGGGGAAGCCGGCCGTGGAAAGGAAAAACATTTTACAATGCCGGTCCACCGAGTAACGAGTAACCTTTATGGCGTGTCGCGACGTGCCGGGGACGTTAACGGGGGAAAAAGCGCGTGGAGAGCGTACGGCGGAGCTTTCGTGACACGCCATGGCACGTCGATAACTTCGCGCGAGGAAGGACGCCTCGGGAAGAACGTCAGCTGCGAGCGTCGTGCGCCTCCAGCGGGATAAACCTTTCTTCAAAATATTTTTCAGGGGGGAGAATATGCGTAGGATCACGCACGGCACGCATGTGGAATAAGATATCACCGGGGAATATCCGTGTGGAATATCCAGGGGTGTTTAAGGAATGACTAATAAGACCTGAGGGGCGTTTGACAGAACGCGCGGTTCAGAAACATTAAGGCACGCATTAGAGATATCAAAGATATTAGTGGGCCGTTCGGAATATTAACCGAGTAATATTAACCCTTCGTGGTCACTTTAGAATGTCGAATTGGTCACACGAGGGCAAAGTAACCCCAGCAACTTTAAATGGTTGTCACGCTCTAAACTATTTCTTGTAGTAAACAAAAAACTTATTAAACTTATTAGTCAAACATTGTAAAATGTGAATCAAGAGTGTTTAATTTTAATTTTAACATGCTTAAAAAATTGAAAAAATGACTTTTTTTACCTAAACATTTATAACTTTAAATTTTTTGAAAAAATTTCATTGGTGTCCAGGGATATAACGCTTAAAAAAATCAGTGTTTCAAAAGAGGTATTTATTTTAAGAGATAAAGAGGGTAATTTTAGAGAAAAATGAGATGTGTAGTTACTACAAAGAAATGTACTTATTTTTACTCGATCTGGAAAGATTGAGCCTTAAACTTTCGCTGGGGGATCAATATAATTCCACGCGGAGAGAATTCTTTCTTAAAATTTATCTGGAAAGTTATGTAATCGTGTGACAACATGGCATTTCGAAGGATTTTATAAGAAAGAATACTGTCGCCCTTAGTTGATCAACGATAGAAAAACATATTTGGCGACTTAAACTGGCCAAGTGGTTTATTTTATAAGTTTTTAAAATTTTACCATACATTTTACTGGTAATTATACTTAGTATAATATTTTATTAGTAGAATGTATCATAAAATTTAAAAAAAAAACTCACATGTCCCACAATTACACGATTTTCAGAGTAAATTTTAAGAGAAAATTCTCTCCCCGTGCCACGAAGGGTTAAAAAGATATGCAACGATAAAAATGTCACCCCTTGCTGTGTGGGAACAATCGTTTTGATGCTACACGTTACACATTGGCAGCGTGAAAGAGAGGATCTCCCGGGCGAGAGCGGCGCGAGTCGGGATGGTGGTAAGTCGATGGGGGTGAAAGCCGGGGTGGAAATGAAAAATCGCTGGCGCCGTCGAGCCAAAAGTAACCACCTACTAGCTCTTACCTACAGATAAGAGTAAATAACGAGGCCGACAGACACGCGGAGGAGAACTAATTCGCCGCATATTTCACGCACGTCCGCCCCCGCGGCCGCTTCCGAGGGAGAATAAAGGGATTAATCTCTCTCTGTCCCTCTCTCGCTTATTCTTTCTCTTTCAGATATGCTTATTCGTTGTTATGTATTTCTGAATGTACAAAGACAGGACTCCTGTGTGACAGCTTATTAACATAAACTTTCACGAAATCTTTACGATTCTCGGTTGCTGCGGCATTCGCGATTCCATTTACAAGAATTTAATCTCATTGGAAACGAAGAACAAATTTTACGGTATCGATTTTACAAACGAATCTTTAACAAAAACGCGAGATAAGAAAGGAAAAAGTAGATGTCCCTTGTCTGATAAATGTATCATTAATTTAGCATCGGTTTAGAAGTAATCAGAAGTGTATATAAAGTGCGATAGCGAGTGCAAATATTTACCGAGGAGAAAACTGCTTACCTTTTCACCGCTGTCGCTGGGCAGGTAAAACGTGAGAACCGTGAGAAACGATATACCCATGCAGGGGATGATAATGTTCACCGTGTAGAAGAGGGTTTTCCTCCTCATCGTGATGTTGAACGTGATGTCCAAGTAGGGCTCGTCGCAGCAAGTGTAAAACTTCTCGTTCCTGCGAGAGAAGAAAAGACGCAAGAGACATTGCGGTTAATCGCCGGATCGATGAGCGAGCGGGGGGGAGGGCGCGGTGGGATTACGGCGATGAAGTAAGGAGGAAAAGGAAAAAAAATCACCCGAAGAACGTAAAAATTCCGCTATTCAGGGCGGCGAAGCGTTTGTACCCGACAATAAGTACGTTTTAAGTAAGTAGGGTCGGCGGCGAGCGAGACTTATGAGGAAAGTTTCGCGGGGTCGTATAACTCCGTCGAAGATCTCTCTAAGTCGGTAACTCGGTTCAGTCTACTTCCCTGCATCCCCCCAAGCCTGTCCCCTCTATTCAGGCCGTTGGTCTCAAGCCGGAGCCGGTAATGTCTCGTGTCGTGAATAAATCTGAATTACATTTATTTTTCGAGCATTCAATTTTTCGCGCGAAAGCGAGAGCCTAAATACACGAGAAAATTGCCAATGGAACGAGTTTCTCCAACGATTAACGACCTGGATTTCGTTCCCCCTGCGTACTGCACGCCCTCAAGAGCCAGCGTTGTGACTGACTGTGTCTACTCGTTAGGTCGGGATTTCTCCCGAGGGGTCCAATCGTCGGTACGTGACAAATAAGGGCGTTTAAATCGAACCGGTATCGGCACATGTAGTTTCGGTACATCGATATGATATGGAAGATGTAATACTGACATAATATAACTAGTATGCCCACTCTCTGTCTGCCCTTTGATCTTGTCGGACCCGATCACGTGGTATTCCGCCACGTTTTTGGTCTAAATCCAGCGCGCGCGCGCGTGTGTGTACGTACTCATCAAAGCTACACTACCACACGCGTAGTATAACTAGTAGGTCCACTCTCTGTCGGCTCCTTTGATCTTTGCGGTCCCGATCACGTGGGACTCCGCCATACACTCGGGCAGGATCCAGCGATGTGTGTGTGTGTGTGTGTGTGTACAGGTACTCATTAAAGCCACACATACAACTTTTCTCTCATTGGCCTGCTCAGAACAATGTCGGATCGACGCAAAACGAAACAAATAAGGGAGTGGACCTACTAGTTATATAATACTATGACCACACGCATAACAATTGTCTCATCGACAGGGCCGAAACGATGCGCAGAAGGGATCGATGCGAGACCAAACAAATGACAAAGTGGGCCTACTAGTTAGACCATAGTGTAACTAGTATGCTCACTGTCATTTGTTTCGTTTCGCGTCGATTAAACAAATGACGAAGTGGGTCTCCTAGTTACACCATAGTGTAACTAGTTGCTCACTGTCATTTGTTTCGTTTTGCGATATTGTTCTGGGCGGATCAGTGAGAGAAAAAGCTGTATGTGCGATAGTGTAGCTTCGATACACTACCTCACGCACAACTCTACAGTACGTACACACGCATACGCCGCTGGATTACTGCCCAAAATAATGACGGAATACCACGCGATCGGGACCGAGAAGATCAAAGGGCCGACAGAGAGTGGACATACTAGTTATGCTATGGTTTTACTATGATACCGACGCTGAAGACGTTCGGACGTTAAAGCCTCGATATCTCGAATGTGTATCTTGAACATCTCCGGTGGGAAGTCACTGTCTGCGAAAACATCCATTTTGCTACTACGGCAGCTCCAGAAAGTGGAACCCGATTCCCGTTTGCATCGCGGCACGCCGAATATCGGGAATTGAATCGTGCCCGGAAGCAACCGTTCGCTTATGCCGGGCGAGCATATTGAATATGAAGACGCGTTTCATAAGGAAAGAGAAAAGAGCCCCTTCTATACACGCGCTTTGAGATTCCTCTGCTGTATCTGAGGATCTCGGGGATCGGATTGAGATTTTATCCGGAGAAAATAGATGAGCTTTACGGCACATCTCACAGCGAATTTTGATACAAGACGATAAGCCGTAATCGCGGGGACGTATGCAACTCGCTCAAATTGGAATCCTCATATTAAGGTCTTTATGAAATGTCGCGTATAAACGGCTCCGATATAAAACCCGATCGCCTTTCGTAACAACACGCATAGAGTTATTTTATCTCATGTAAGTCAACGGCGCACGATACTATTTTTCCTACTGGATCGCTTACGAGAGCCAATCCGGATTTAAGCCAGCGGCACACGATACTATTTTGCCTAGTAGATTTCTTGCAAGAGCCAAAAGAATGCAGAGTTTTAGATCAGGTGACTTGATTGGCTCTCGCGGGCAAATCCAGCAGGAAAAATATCGTTGGCTTTACTAAAATGCAAACAGCGACGTATCAACATCTCTGTATTTGAGGGTCAAGTAAGATGGGGGACACTTAGGAAACTAAGGGACACTTACCGAACTGCAGGCACTTCTAAAATATCCCATTCTACCGACATGTAGAATTCGGATAGGTCAACTCCCACGTCCACCACGTTGCTCCCCGATTTTTCGTCCATGTGTCTTAGATCGACCTAGGTGACAGAAAAAGCGACTGGCATTAAGCTCGCGCGCGTAAAAAGCTCGCCGTCGTTGAAACGTTCGAACTCCATGCCCACGTAATTCATCTCTGACGAACGAGCGTGCAGTCGGAGGGCTAGTGAAGCTGTCACATTGTGTAAACGTGTAAACAGGATGCCAGGGATTGCAACATTGTATTTCCCCATCGTTTCCCGAAATCTTAAAGAGGGATTCAGCGAGTGTATTCGGCCTGCGACTGCACGCTCGCGGTTAACTGCTTAATTACGAACAATAATAATTCTGAAATAAACTTTCAGTGCATGTCTTGAGATGCACTTGGTGTTCGCAGAAGCGCAGAGGGAGGCTAATTGTCAAGGAATGAAAAAACGGAGCGTCGACTGTGGTGGTCCGCAACAACAGGACACTCTAGAGCAGCAACTAGATCAGCGGAGTATCGCCTTTATATACATATCGATATCTATGTGTGCACCACATTGCAGAGTAAAAGGAACACGCAGTCAAAGAAAGAAACCAGACTAGCGCACTCGATTCGGTCTCACTCGTCAATTCAAGGCTATGACAGCTATGCACCTAACGCTAACGAGATGTCCCATTCAGCCGCGTTTTTTTCGGTGTAAATATATGCTTTTAGAATCATTCACAGCGACTTCTGACCTGTAGACCGCCGCGTAGAAGCTTCGTGTAGCTCGGCAAACGGAGATCGACGGAAATCCTTGCCCAGGAGAAAAATTCGCTCTCGTAAATCTGAGACTATATCCTCCCCAATTTATAATAATCGTAACTACTTTTTTCCCCGGAGATATTACGCGAGCCCGCGTGACTATCTCTAATACCGTCACTTCGCTTTGCTCCCACGACAATGAGTCGGAGGTGACGTCGGTTGTTCAAGTCCCCCGCGAAATTTTTATTCTGCAAAACTGAACTTATTCCCGGGAAAGACGTACAATTGCAACTTGCTGCCAACTTGTACAGCTAAATTTGTATGGACGTGCAATCCGCGATCTGTAAAATTTGCCGCCGTGTGCTACGATTATGACAACAACTATTGTGGAGCCAACTTCCCCGAGATGCGCAAATAGCATAATTGCCTCGTCGGGAATAATTTCGCCGTTAAGTTTCTAACATTGTCTTCTGTGAAGCCATTCGAGCGACATGCAGCAAGATTAAAGCCAGCGGCGGCTTTAATGTTACGTAAGTGTCTAACCATTGGCCCAGGCGATCGCTCGCTGCAGCGGTATTACCGTGAAATACCTCGGGCAGACGCATCTCCGGTGATTCGAGTAACGGTGCACTTGCGGACGATACTTTGTCACTGCTGCGGGGCGAGATTAAAGCCGGCAAACAATTTCGATGCAGCGCCGCGCCGGTGATCGCGGTTCCGAAGGACGCAATCGCCCCGAATTGCCCCGAAATCTGACGAGCCAGTCGGCTTTTGTGACGACAGAGAGAGAGAGAGAGAGAGAAAGAGAGAGAGAGGGCCGTGGTATTATAAATCACGTTCGTCCCGTTTCGCCGAGAGCGCAATTTTGTTATAAATCTATTTCAAGGGGCCATTCGTCTTTAAAAATAAAGTTTCGAGTTTATTTAACGAAAGCAGTTGTGAAGGAAACTAATCAAACTCATATTTCTCCTTTCCGATTCTTTATCGATTTATGAAATTGCGAAAAAGCTAAACGGGCTACAAAAGCCCGAGTAGATTTGTGATTTTCTACACGACCCAGTTTTCCTTAAATCTGATAATTGTCCGCTCCGATAAGAAAGGCTCGATTCTCGAGATTAAATTCAATCGTCGTGAGATAAATTAGCGAGGATGAAACGCCGTGCTTATAAGTTTTCGATTAAAAATTGGTCTGAAAACAACTTATCTCGCTACGCAGATAACATATTCAAAGACTCTGAACCCAATTATGCAGATGTATTGCTTGAAATTCTGCTAAAGCGAGAATTATACTCGGGAACGCGCGTACTTCGCACCTGCCATGGAATAACATTTCAATTAGGTTCGCGCGAAATCGAGGTGCTGCGGACGGAATTAATTAAAGACGGCGTGTACGGGGCACCGCACCATCTGATCTCGGCGAAACTTCGCTAAGGATCCTTTGAAGTGTAGACAGGCCGCCACATTAATCTCGCGGGTAGCCGGACGGAAACGGAATTTAAAGAATATGCGTTATCAGTCCAGGCACGTCGCGCAATCCCTTTTCTCTAAAAATTGCGTTATCTTGCACGTCTCGTAATCGTTACGTGTGATTCACCCGCTCCGCATTTATCTCGCCAATTTACTCCTCCGTTCCACGAAGAAAATTTACAGCACCTACTCTCTCTCCCGCGATATCACTTTATTACAATTATCATTCATTTATCGTTATATTTTATACGTTTATCTATGTAGCTCATATTTCTCCCCTGTATTTTAAATGCCGGCTTCGTAACAAGATATGCTTTGTAAATAAATTAATTTAATGTACCGATTGTAACCTACATAATTACTAGCACTCTAATAATTGCTACAAGTGTAGGAAAATCGTATTCTCATACGTTTATCTATGTAGCTCATATTTTCCCCCTGCATTTTAAATGCTGTCTTCGTAACAAGATACGCTTTGTAAATAAATTAATTTAATGTACAGATTGTAACTATAATAATTGCTTCAAGTGTAAGAAAATTATATTCCCATACGTCCTCATTTTTCATCAGAAATTATAAATGTCTGAAATCGCGGCAAGATTAAAACACGAAGAAACGTTGCGAAGAAAGATTTCATTATAGTACAATGATGTATGTATTATCTTCGCAGCTTTTCTACTCGGACTTTTCGAAAAAGAAATAAAGAGTTCCCCGTGGCACTTTTCCAAACTGCGTTTGTTTCAGACTAACTGACGTACAAAGGGAGGTGGAAGCCCCGATAGGAGCCTGACGATTTGTGAACGTTTCCTCGCGACTCGGGAAGAAGAACAGACGGGGAGACGTAAGTTACACAAAGGACGAGGGACGCGCGTACTTTTTAAACGGTGATGAATGCCGCCGGAAGAATTCCTCATTGTCAAAGCTGCAAGTTCGGAGGAGGAATCGACTGGTACAAATAGCTACGGCGACGTAACGTCGGTCAAACGGGACGCAGTTGACGCTTCTCGAACTCCTTTTTGATCGCGCCGAGATCGAGAATGTTGCAAAATTTACAGCGCACTTGGCGACTGACGTAAAAAGGAAAGCACTCTCGCATAATCTCCGTCGTAAATGCTGGCGCGGATGTTAAAGAATACTCGCAGAAGTAACGGCACGCCCCGTGGCAGCTTCTTTATTGACTTTGCGGCGGAGACGACGACACCGTTGCGAATCCTTTCACGGAAGGATCGCCGCTGAGGACAGCTGGCCATTGCCGATACGTTGGAGATTGCTTCACTGAGGTAGTCGCGATAGCTTCACGCGCTCCACTTATTGCACCGTCGTCTATTGCACTTGTTATACCGCGTATATGATCGATCGCGAAAACAATTTTAACTTCACCTACATTTCGCCGGAGGAAACGAAAATACCGGTTTGTTTTCGTTCCTTTTGGTCTTCAAACACGGCGAAACTTCAACAATTTTCAATATATGTATAGGTTCTTTTTTTAATTTATCGCTTCGCGAAAATCGACCTCTCGCATGGCGCACGAACCTCGAGAACAGGGGCTTTGCCGATCGAAAGATCAGTGTTGATCTTTTGATGCGATAGAGGCGAGCTTGATGTGATGGAGGGTGGGTTGAAAGGGTGATTCGATGAGGCGGTTTAGATAGCCGGGCTTACGGTGTCTAGACACGGCGAGGGAAGATATGTGAGGGAAATGACGGCGAAAGGCGGTACGGGGTTGCTGTATTCACAATGAGGAGTGCACGGGCCCTCGCATCGGTGGACGGTTAAATTGCACTTTGTGGCCGCGTGCGAGCGAGCGCGCAGCCACTTAACATTCTGAAATACTTGCCGGTTTTCCCTCGCGTGCGTTCCGCTCGATCAGTACTTCGTATCGCGATGCATTTTAATTGAGACCACTTTCGTGATTGAGAACAAGAAAAAATTTAGCATCGCGAGTACAACGGATGTTGGCAATAGGTAAATAGAAAGTACACTCCGGTTCCGATCGTCAAAAGGAATTCATTTGCGAGATATTCTCCTCCCTTCTTCATAAAAGCTGAATCAAGATCAATAAAACCTTATCTTCGCCCGTACTTTTGCCCGTCTTTCCTCTCTTTTTTTTTCTGCAATTGACAATCCGGCATAGAGACGAACGTCGGCAAATATTTGGACGTGTACGTCGCGTTCTTAAAATATTTTTTCTTTAATAAAAAGCTCTACCGTAACCGGAGGGTGGGGGGGGGGGGGCGAATAACATTGTGAGAGACAGCGATTGCCCTTACTCAAGTTCTCTCGTATTTCTGTCCGCCCTTTTTCTTTTTACGCGTCACCATTTAAACGGAAGGAATGCGGACCAAGTAATTTCGATGCGTCCACGTCGAGTCGACTAATTGCATTTCTTCGGACCCGTTTTGCTTTTTGTCGGCGCACTTGACGTCGGCGAAGAAGTCACGATGGACGGACGAATCGATTTCGTGGGACAGTGATTTTTTGTCATTAGCTATCGGTACGCCGCTTGCGGAACAGCGTATGATGAATTGCGGCCGACGGATGATGGATGCTGCGATTGTCGTCCTTTTCCCCCCTCTTCCCCCCCCCCCACGATCGTTTCGTCCTTGTCCCTTTTTCTTGCGCGCTTCATCGAGAGACTCGGACAACGGAGATCTTTAATTATCTCCGAAAGTTGGCCGCACGGCGAGTAATTGAAACAAGGATTCGCGAAGGAACGGACCGCAGCGTAAGATGAATAATCGCAAGATTTGCGAGGTGTGCGAAATGAAACTTGAGATTCGTGAAATTCTCATTTTATGAGGAAATCGCTTTCCCCTAGAACAAACGTGACTCATTCCGAATAGACTTAATTTCGTGTTTCATTCT